GTCTCTACGTAATCAGTTTCCCGCGTCAATCAATACGTACGTAATCGGCTATGTATCCTATCTATTTAAGTTCATTGGTACGTTATTGAATAACCGCTAATCCTCTAACACTATACTAGCAGTGTCCGCAATCAAGAGGTGTTTGTATGATGGAGGAAGGTTTGTTCTTAAGCAGTAGGTGACGTCACATGCTGGTCGTGTCCGTACGTTTGTAATTACACTTGTAATTAGGAAGTCGTATACGTAATCAGAGGATTCATTTCCGTAATTCCAGCTGTTCGTATGGCTGTCCAAAAGTAACGTAATGGCTCAAAACGCACTTTTGTATCTCAAGAAGTCATTGTGAGTGTCATGAAGTTATTTTTATAGATCCGGCATTTCATATCCTTAGACTCTCGAAGACACTAGTCAATTCTCTCGTCTTATAGACGTCAACAACCCGATATTCCGAACACCCCGTTATTACAAACATTAAAAGAAATCATGGTACAAAAAAAGACTGAGTAAAACTCGCTGTTAACAACAAAAGCGATCACGATCTCCAAGCGAAAGCTGACTATAGTTTTATCTACAYCAGTATAACTCCTTTTCTTGCTTTATCAAGTATCTTTGTGTGGTATAAGGATCATATCTTTTCTTTCTCGCATATCTTATGAATTATTCACTTAATAACAATTCAAAGTCAGAAGTAATTAAGATCTTTTAGGAGGATTTCCAATGTGTTAATTGTCCAATCAATCTTATCTTTCCTGATCATTTAATTCCTCCTTATAAGATTACTCGACGATCAAGAGATTATATCATAATCTAGCGTGGATTTAAAAGGTATAAAGCCCTCCATAGTTATTAACATTTCCAGAGAGAAGAAGTCCGTTATTTCCAGTCACTAAGGTAAGATTCACCACTGAGTGAGSTACGTGAGTATAAAGCTGTGAATGGTAATACAAACTCGCATTATCGACGTAACAAAGAGCAGCACTATGATATCGATAAACTACTTTCTAGATTTTTACTAGATTTTTTCAAATCAGAACGGTTTTAGAAAAAATGCTGTCCTTAAMTATGTCGTAAAAGTTCCACAACAAATGAGATTTTTTCACCAGATTTGGTTCCATTTCCTTGCTTTCATGTTCAAAGTGTGTGTTTTTCGTTAGGTCAATTAAGGCAAAAGTGGTTGCAATATTAGTTCTTAATTAATGTGTTTGCTCACTTAACTGATACTAGTCATGTCTCATATAAATTTGTGTTAGTTGCTATTAAAGAAGTGCGAGTCCAAAGTCCCTTTAGCTTCCCCCGTCTATCCTCTCTGCATSTATGAAAACTACAAAATGAGTTTGTTAATTAGTTTATATTGTGTAGTTGAGATGATTGAGACAAACATATACATAGACCTCACAGGCAGGCCCGTAGGCTGGGGGGTCCGGTGTTTATCTTTTTTTATTGCTCTGTTTTAAAATTCTATCGTTATGAACTGTTTGTGAGATAGTATTTTGTTAGTAAATTGCTCATTTTAGCAGCCAGTTCTTACACACTATACCTTAATTTAATTTAGGCCCGCAATATGAAAAAACCAACCCCCACATTTAAGAGAATGATTACCTGATTTCAAAATCTAGTCATGTGCATTCTGGCAGTAAAGTCTCAGTTAGGCTCCAATTAACTATATACTTGGATACAATCAACGGTTGGATAATCTTGACATTTATGAGCAGCGAGCTCTGCTGATAGCACATCAAGAATATGACAATCTAAGTGACTGACGKCTTAGTTTAAGTTTCTCATGTTATTTTGTCAAGGCTTCCGTTACTTTGCGTGAGCAAGAAGTTGACATATTCATTATATTTGTCTACTGCATGAGTACCAGCTGCAGGAAACTTAAACGCTTTTTCCATTAGTTAATAATGAGCACAAAAACGTTTGAGAACGAATCAAGAGTACAAAATGTGACCAAAAGAAAAAAAACAACGGAATTGTATCCGTGAAACATTTTTGATACAAAATTGTGTTCAACAAAATTAGAATCATTTCSCAATTTTTTGCGCAATTTCTCAACTCCAATTTCTGACCGGTGTTTAATGTATACAGTGGATCTATTCCCAGTAGGTCTTTACACTATATCATAGTGTTACAACTATTTCATCAATATACTATCACATCTACGTAAATCAATTCGACATCGTTTTATAAATGTCCGCTGATAAAACAAATAGTTCGCAGAAATTCGCCGTAGCGAGGTTAGTCAGAAGTTATATTCCTATATTATTAACTAGTTRACAGGACTGAATAAAACTCCCTTATTTATTAATGAATAGTCTGAATATTTAAAGAAATTCGGTACAATAATAAGAAGTTTAAACGATAAGCTCAGCATTCAWCCACAATTGAAGATGGGATTATGAAAACAGTGTAAATCTCAGTGCATTGGTGTACTGTTAGATTCTAAGACGCATTTTGAGAGGAAAACACAAGAATTACGAACCATAAGGGCGGTTAACTCTTCCTGGTGTAACCCATTAAGAAAGGAATGACATCTGACATGTCTGTAAGTACTACGATTTTGCGCGCTTTCAAAACTCCTTGTTTAATGTAGAATTTTAGCTTTAAAACTATCTACATTTTAGACTGATAAATGAAAAAAATACAAGTAAAAAAAGATGTAATGGTACTTGCTATTTTACTATAGCCACACACATTATAGAATGACGATATCGAGCGCACGGTGTAACGAAGGCCACTGTCGATCACCAATGTTGTTTTGTAACTCTTGTCGTTTGCTAAGCGTTATCAATAAAAACGCACCAGACAAAATAGAAAAACGAYGGTTAATAAACTAACTAAGTTTAAAGATATCTGAGAAGTCTTAATAGATCGATTTACCGTCGCTTTAATGCTCGACTCGGCCTATGTAAGTGGCTAACTGCATAATTAAAGACACAGCTTTTAGAAGGAAGTATGGYTACCGGTAGATTGTTTTGACATATATCAACTTTGCTTCACTAAAGAGGAAAAGATTCTAGTAAAAAGTATAAACAAACATACCTTTGAGATGCGCAGTAAACACAGTAATCTTATCGCTGTTTAGCAGACGTTATTTYTTTCGCTGAGTTCCGATTTAATTGAATTCACACTCCACATCCATCTGCAAAAAGAAGTCAAGATWTTTTATTGAGTGCTTTAGATAGTAGAAACGATTAGTGCGTCTAGTTTAGGGCTCGTATTTAACTGTTGTTCCTGTTTACATGGACCGTATCAGGCTAGTGTGAAATGAATACTAACCATGTTCACTTAGTACGTAATTGGCACCATTTCTATATTTGATTCACGGGTTGAGAAACACAAAGAATTCTGTGATTCAAAAAATTAGGAAAGCAAAACAATGAAAAAATAAAACAAGAACACACCGTCTAGGCTTTGTAATGATCTTTTTCTCTGTTATCTGATCTCACGTCGCTCTTCAACTCCCTCTCCACATTCAGCTGTAAAAAGAAATATACCATGTTTTGTCAAATAATTTGGTAACATTACCCTCTAGACTGACTGACTRKTTTGGTAATTATCCAAARTGTCAACACAAGACAAGCAAAATGTARTAMAYTGTTCACCAGCTTGATAGGAATGACTACGAGGGGGGTTTGATGGTTAAACCTTATTTTTTTGCGGTAACGAGTGATTTATAGTGCGCTATTATGGGAAGTCATCAAATCGACCATTTTTGGCCGTTTTTGTGGACTATTGTAGTAAACTGTTCACCAGCTTGATAGGAATGACTACGAGGGGGGTTTGATGGTTAAACCTTATTTTTTTGCGGTAACGAGTGATTTATAGTGCGCTATTATGGGAAGTCATCGTTCAAGATGCGGTTTAATGCGCGATATTTCTAGATTACTTAAGGTGACTATAAAACTGAGAGTACTGTAGAAGCACTTGGAAAAGTCTCCATTGAATACTGGGTATTGTRCGCTTMRTCTAACATKATGTCGCGACYAATGTCAKTCYGTTCTTTGTYTTTTTAACATGTTTGAGCTATCCTTTCAGTAAAGTCGGCCAATTTGAGCTGRTTAAAACTSATCTAAAAGACAAAATAACTAAATATAGCTCCCCAAGAAAGAAAAAGAAGCAGCTGTTTTGATGTCAGGTGTACGGTTTGTTCTAGAGTAAGAACAACATTACCGTTAAAGTAGTTATTTTTCGGCTATTCATTATGATAATGGTCGTAATAGGAGGTCAATGTGTTCGTAATAGCGAGGTGTCCGTCATATGGGAGTTCGATCTAGTACTAATGCCATACYCTGAGGGTTTGTAATTATATCATGTTTTTATGCCATTAACTTAGAAAACTTAAAATACCAGAGTTAAATTTCAATCAGTGATTCAGTGCAACAGCCTGCGATAGTCAATCGATAAGTATTCGACAAATAATCGATAAATTAACGTGCTTTGACACATTGGTAAACATGGAGCAGTTTAAAACTTCATTAAGGAGGATATTGCGGACAGGGCGGTAATGAAGACTTACAATTCTACAAGGGGGCAAATGGGTGTGACTCCAGAACTACCTTTTCACCATACACTCGCATTTGGACTCGTARAATTTATCAAAATACARAATCAACAAATARAAGTATTTACAGAGMAAAATATAGAAAYACAAAAAAATTCACAAGTTGATGAAACGATTGTTTAGCTTRACGACTTTTTGACAAATAAAATAATACATAAAAAGAGACCGTGGAAGCAATTAGCACTTTAAGACTGGTCTCATATGGCACGTATTGTGTTGCCTATTAAACTCAAAACGATTGAAAGCATACTGGTATTGAATTACTTGGAAATGATTCGAATCGTTTGTCAACCTTTTTGGAAAATAATGAACATTACATGTGATTTTACGGTTTTGAATTGCATGATTTTAACGAGTTGAGCTAGCCGTTAGTAGAGTCAACAAATAATGTAATATTCTACAGCGTTTCCTAGACTTTCKGTTGATTGAAAGRATGGATGGATAGATTTGTGTATGGAAGAATGGATGGGATGTGCATTACTGGATAAAGAGATAAGGTGATCAATACTGTAATAACCATCTAAATAATGTATACCAGTATTAACATTTCACATATACAAGCCAACAGCAGCCATCGTAGCTAATGTTGTTGTTGCTATTGTTGTTGTCGTTGTTGCTGTCGTTGTTGCTGCTGCTGCTGTTGTTGATGATTATGCTGCTGTTGTTGTTGTTGATGATGCTGCTGCTGTTGTTGTTGTTGTTGTTGCTGTTGTTATTGTTATTGTTGCTGCTGCTGTTGTTGTTGTTGTTGTTGTTGCTGCTGTTACTGTTGTTATTGTTTCTGCTGCTACTGTTGTTGTTGTTGTTACTGCTGCTGTTGTTGTTGTTGTTGTTGATGCTGCTGCTGTTGTTGTTGTTGCTATGGTTCAAAGTCCACTAACAGTACAATCTAGAGAATATTTCATCAATATTTCATTTTAATTTAAAATAATAAAAGTGAAAACTTCTCGAAGTTCATTATTTGTCCTAAAATATCAATATTCAAAACTGACGACTTTTTAGCTATTTTTTGACATTTAAGATCATTAGTAAAGGAACATGATGACAGATTTGCCTTCTCAGAAACCCCAATTGGCATTCCTTGATACTTAGTGCCCATGTTGCCATTGTTCATAAGCCCTAAACTGTCACAATAACCTTTTGTGAAGAAGTTTACTTCTGATGAATAAACAAAACCTTTCAGGCACTTAGCAACCAAATATCTCCTACAAAACTCTCTCAATGAGATGTGAGATCAAGACCAGAGAACAGCAAGGCTCTAAAGAGTGCTTTGAGCTGACGTTTTTCGCCACAATTTTGGACAAGTTACTTATGAGACTCTTCCAATCTGCAAGAGATTTATTTTACCATTTGGTAGATTGACAAAACGACACTGAAAAACGCGGTTGACATTGATGATGTCGATAATCTTGAAAAACTAAGGTCTTAGTAACTTACAGAAGAACTATAGACAAGTAAAGGAAGTAAAAGAGTCTTGATTTCTYCTAAAGTGCGCAAGTAAGTAGCTATCTTGAAATTTATTGATCTTTAAGGGATTGACTTTAGCAACGCAGAAATTCCATGGAACAAATACAATGTTCTGGTAGTAGTTTCATTAATAGTCAGTAGAATTGTGTGAAATAATACTGTTTTCTGCAAATCAGAGCAAAATCTTTGCCAATGAAAACCTTAATTTGAGGATACTAAGTCTTTTTGTTTGCTGAACGATTATGACATGCATTAGTCTTCATGATTACTTAAAAGCTGTAGAAGGGCTCCCTTGCTTAGAGTAAATATAATTTAAAACTTCCCTAATATAGCAATACATTATAATAACTATGATATATAGTGACCGACTTAACCAGAATCGCAAAACTAGTCTGAACCACTACACTCTGATTTCAAATGCGATATGAGACTTATCAGACTGCATTTTGATATATCTCAGATATCGAACGATTCACTACGGCAAATGAAAAATGCTCTATATCTAATTCAGAATATTATCACCATCCTCTTTGTTGTGTAAGTTAGCACAAAAAAATGTCTGTATTATTCTAAGTATATTCATTTTTATGACACTGCAATTACGAATAGGTAGCTAATATACYAATAAAGCACCAATGGTATCTAATGTTCCAATGAAGTTAGACTTTATTTAGAAAAGAACCCACTTAACTATACGCATTGCTATGGAACTGTCAAAATACTATTTAGATAGATTTTTGTACACGCCGCGGCTATAACCATTGACGGGTCAGTATAAGCCGATTTGTAATTAGAATTATTATGACCTGGCAAAGGTTCAATAACATATTGATGCGTATTAGAATATAGATTAGTATATAACGAGATGCTCTATATATGTCCGTATATGACGGTTTGTTTTATATCGTGAGATTATGTTTGGCTTTTTTGCTTTTCATTATTTCCTCCTCTTCATTCACAGTTTCTCGTAATGAATTCGACTTAGTTGGGAACTAAAGGCTGATTTACACGGCACGATTGTCTCGTGCGACTTGTAGTAGGAAAATCGTATACTACAAGTCGCGCGCGACAAATCGTACCCGGTGTAAATCAGCCTTAATAGTTACGTAAAGTCCATGATAAGGTGTTGAATGTTCTTGAAAAGCTATCTGATTTACATCTACCCGGCCTTTTTTTGCAAATCCCTGTTGACTAACTGACCGACTGACTGACTATGAATATGAGGACCGCATGACATGATAGATACGATATAGAAATGAAAGAAAGTTATAGTGCTTAGGAGGCAAGACTAACTGACTGACTGACTGACTGACTGACCGACCGACCGACCGACCGCTTTATTGATTATCGATATAATTTATGTCTTTCTTTTTCAGCTTGTAAACATGAATATCACAAATAACATTTCCAGTCAGTCGTTACCAAACCATACATCGACACCTGTACGTCCTAGCAACATTGAAGTCTTTGGCCTTGTTCCTGTCATTATTTCTTGTATATTCTACGTACAGATTGCAGTACTTGCCATTTTTGGAAACGGGCTCGTTGTCGGCTCGTTTATTCGTCATCGGCACTTACGAACATTCACGAACTACTTCGTTGTTTCACTCGGTGTTGCCGATATGTTGGTCGGGATGATCTCGATTCCAATGTGGATGTCACTTTTACTCGGTGGTCAAACGACGGAGGTATTCCTCGTGGTTTACACGTTGCTTGACATCTTTGCCGGGACGACGTCCATTATGCATTTAATGGTGATCAGTTTAGARAGGTTTTATGCAATCATATTCCCTGTGCGCCATCGTAACACAAGYTCAGCGRTTTACTACATCGGCCTCGTCTTCGTGTGGGTGTTGCCTGGYATAATGAGCTTTTTAAGTGTACAAGTACTAAGACCTTACGATAAAGAGATGAACATATTGGTCTTGTTCCTGGTATTTTTTGTGACTCCGCTGGTCGTCATACTATTCGCCTATGGTGGAATTTGGAAGGCAGTTCGAACTCGCGTCCTTCCCCAAGCGACGCAACCTGGAAAGCGGTCTCTAAAACGTGACATGCGCGTTATTGTCACCATAGCTTTAGTGATCTTATTCTTTGTGGTATCATGGTTTCCATTCTTTGTAGTTAATTTACTGGCAATATTTAACCCASAATCCACCATKCCTTACCAGACCTCCCTACTTTTGTTCACAAAGTTTATGCATTTCTCCAATTCAGCGGTAAATCCCATTGTTTATGCTGTCAAAATCCCAGAGTTCCGCAGGGCCTTTCGACAGCTAGTTGGATTGTGCTTGTGTCGGGCACACAATCTCAGACCACGTGATAACGAGCTGTTTTCCGGGACTGACATTCGTGATAAACAAACAGTAGTATCCAACGGTTAGAAAACTGCAGTATTACCCAGAATCCAACGTACAACAACTAACAGGCATTGAAAACTGCAGTACTAAACAGAACCAATGTGCAAAGTGATGCACACCAATAATTAACAGTGATTGAAAACTGCAGTATTACCCAGAATCCAACGTACAACAGCTTTACATCGCCACACTAACAATGATTGAAAACTGCAGTACCAAACAGAACCAATGTGCAAAGTGATGCACATCAATAATTAAACAATGATTGAAAACTGCAGTATTACCCAGAATCCAACGTACAACAGCTTTACATCGCCACACTAACAATGATTGAAAACTGCAGTACCAAACAGAACCAATGTGCAAAGTGATGCACACCAATAATTAAACAATGATTGAAAACTGCAGTACAGAAGTTGATTGCACTATCAATCTGACAATCATTATAACTGCAGTAACACCCTCTATATCCTATCGTACAATAGCTGTAACTAGCTGTCTACCTATTGTTGAATTATCGAAAGATGTTATGTTGTAATAAAGGTGTAAAAAGTGGAAAAATCAATTTGATGTTTGAAGAGGGTAACTTAGCATTCTGGTATTATTAGCGGAAACGCACTAAAACATAGTCTCATCGCAGCCATTTGTGTTGATAGGTTACGTGCTCATTTAAAATATACAAGAATAAAGCTGTTACGGTTCATTTCATTATTCTTTAGTCAAGCATACAAATATATCTTCTCTAACTTTGAATGTTTCACTGAATTCCTCGCTAGTTATGGGTTCGTTTAAGAGAGAAACCAAAAGCTCAACTCCCCTATTCCCTGACTTAAACGATACTGATAAGATTGAATTAGAAAATGTCGAGACCAAGGTAAAAGTCGACGTCGAAGAAGAACGCGTTCAATGGGGTAGTAAGCTAGATTTTATGTTATCTTGTGTGGGGTACGCTGTTGGTCTTGGTAATGTTTGGCGTTTTCCTTATTTATGCTACTCAAACGGAGGAGGTAAATATGTTTGCTATTTCTAATAACTTTCTGTTGATTTATCGTTTATTAATAGGATTTTAGAAGTATTTTGGTGCACAATTTATATCACTATATTCGTTATTGTTTGTTGTATGTTCGCGATTTTTTCATGTATGACTGATTCGATAATGTATGAATTCAAAAAAATATCCAAGACGTTTGTAAACTATAATTCCCATGAGAAAAGAATCTACGATTTGGCTAATATCAGTTGAAAATCAATACATCAACCAGATCAAAAGACATTTTCACATATCACAAATCAAAAATATCGACTTCCTTCACATACTCATATCAGTGAAAAATATAGTTTCGATTCTTCGTACCATCAGTGATCTTCTTTCTTGAGTAATAACAACGAATTATTTTGATTCTACGTTTGATTGAGACGCATGTAGATGTTTGAAGCCGGCATTTGGGCTCAAAAAAACAACAACAGAATACTGTATCATATCGTGGTCAGTGATCCATTATTTTATTAGTTGTCTGGGTCTTAAGGGTGTATTTGTACTTAATCTGCCTCCATATGTTTTGTTTTGTGCGTTCTTTGTGTAGCATCGTTCCTGATTCCCTATTTCATGGCA